CCTGAAGTTCATTTCCTTAAAGCAGTGTCTGGCCCACAGTGTAAGGAGTGTCAAGGTTGAGAACCTCTGATCTAAATATAAAGCTAATGTAAATGAAATGTTAGAGAAAATGATAGCAATGCCCTGTTGTTCAAATCAGTAAGCGTTATGAGTGCCTAACATTGACCTGATATGTACTTTTCCAAATATGAATAGATGTAGACCCCATGTTAGAGAAAAATTAACACATATATTCATTTTAATAAATGAAAATCAGTAATTTTTAATAAAGAATTTAATTATATTGAAAATGATAATAACAACAAAAATACATGCGTGTCAAAGGCTGCCCACATTTTGACTTACAGATTGATTATAAAAGGCATCTCATGAAATATTCAGCAATGATTTATAATCTAAATGATTGTGGAGATGTCTGAAACAGAAAGATTACGTCTCTGTCTTGGTGAGGAGAGGAATACGAAGTTGCACTAAATGGGCCAATGATGTGCATGAAATGAAATGTAGAAATCAGTAAGACCTACAGCACTGGGAGGACCAAATTCTTTTTAGAATGATGACTTCCTTGCAATTAATAAAGCTGTAGGAGCCATGAGCTCCTCCCTCACTCCCACTCACCCTTCCTAACTTCCTACCTACAGTACCTCTGCTTGCTAAACAGTGACTCTGAGGGTGGAAAAGTGATATTCCTTGTGCCGGGCCAGCTCAGCCAAGGGTCCGGTGAGCCTGAGGGGGGGCGGTGAAGGATGTAGAAAAGACAGACAAAGAGAATAAGCTGGGTCTAGGTGGATCTCCTGTGCCTGGCTGAGGCCCCAGAGAGAGACCCAGAGGCAAGCTGAGCCTTAATTTTATAGCCAGAGGTAAACAAGGTGGTGGTCACCATAGTTATAATGTTATTGTGAGTTTCACTTGTTTTGCCTGCACTTGCTGCCCCTCCCCCAGCCCATTAGCTACCTAGATAGGATCTAGGGAGCTCATAAGGTCAAACCTAATTATGCTAAGAGGGCTGTGCTGGGACTTGTTTGTGGCTTTGCCAACAGGTCAGTCCCAGGCTTAATCCTATAGCCGTTCCCTACAATTTCCAATCTTTAAAAATACATGGACATAAAAATATCTATTCTAAAATCTGCCTCATCCCTGGCCAGTGTGGCTCATTGTCCCATACACCAACAGGCGGTTCGCTTCCTGGTCGGGCCACGTCCTCAGGTTGCGGGTCTGATCCTCTGTCGGGGCCTGCTTGGGAGTTTCTTCCTCTCTCTCCTTTTCTTTCTGTTCCTCTCTAAAAAATCAATAAAATCTTCTTAAAAAGAAAAACCTAAATAAAAATAAAAGAAAACCTGCTTAATCTTCAGATTATAGATTTATATTTCAAAATTACATATAGGGCCTATGGGACTATTTTATGATTTGAGGTATTTGGGCCCCGAAGTTACTCCTGATTTAGAAACCATAGCAGGAAGCAGAAGAGCAATACTAGAACTTTATAGCAAGTTCATCGAAATGACCATTCTATGTATGAATGTGAAGAAACATTTAAAAAGAATTTTGTAATATCTACTCTAATTAAAGCACAGGCAAAATATTTGGTTTTAAATAGAAGGTGATTTAAGCAGAAGCCTTGTTTGTCCTGCAATTGTTTTTTGATAATGTATTCTTACCTCTCTTTCCCACAAGTATGAAACCTAAGTACGTTTAATTAAAAAATATTCTTTCAGATTTGTTTACATGAGGAGGGAAGCATAGTACGGTGTCAGGCAGGAGAAGCTAAACAGACAGACAAACAAGCAAACAGCAAAGGAATCTTGTTTAGGGAACTCTTCAGAGGGGAATTCCTTAAACACGAAATGCGGGGGAGGGCAAAAGTAGGTTTACAGTTGTTCATATGGAAAGTAATACAGTATTTAATAAATAATAATACAAAATAAACTCTGTTTTGCATACTCACAACTGTAAACCTACTTCTCCCCATTCTGTATAGAGTCAACCAAAGGTATTGAAATTTTTGTACAGTTATATAACTCTATTGGAAAGTGGGGGACATAAAACAGTGTAAGTAAGATAAAAACAGTCAAAAGTGGCTGCCCTGTGTGAGAGAGGCCAGGCAGAAGTGAGAGAGGGTCTCCCAATATTTTGTTAGAACTCTTTTAATACTGTTTGAAAAAAAGGTATCTCTCAAAAAAAAAAAAAAGGGATTAATTTTCTGAAATACGAACTCTGAACCTGCTAAAATATAAAATAACTAGAGGCCCCGTGCACAAAATTTGTGCATGGGGGTGTGTGTCCCTCAGCCCAGCTTGCACCCTCTCCAATCTGGGACCCCTCGAGGGATATCCAACTGCCCCTTTAGGCCCACTGGGATAGGGCCTAAATGGGCAGTCGGACATCTGTCTTACAATCCAGGACTGCTGACTCCCAACTGCTCACCTGCCTGCCTGCCTGATTGCCCCTAACAGCTTCTGCTGCCAGCCTGATCACCCCCTAACCACTCCCCTGCCAGCTGGATCGATGCCTAACTGTTCTCCTGCAGGCCTGGTCCCCCCCAACTACCCTCCCCTGCAGGCCTGGTCCTCCCCAACTGCCCTCCCCTGCAGGCCTGGTCCTCCCCAACTACCCTCCCCTGCAGGCCTGGTTGCCCCCAACTGCCCTCCTCTGCTGGCCTTGTCACCCCTAACCGCTCTCCCCTGCTGGCCTGATCGCCCACCACTGCCCTCTCCTGCCGGCCATCTTGTGGCGGCCATCATGTGTCCAAATAGGGGTGGCCATCTTGTGTGTTGGAGTGATGGTCAATTAGCATATAACCTCTTTATTATATAGGATTATACCCTCACATTGTTGCAAAGATGGCGGCGCTCACAGCCAATAAGGAGGGAATATACTAATTGACTGCCACACCCTCAAAGATGGTGGCACCCACAGCTACAAGATGACTGGCAGGGGAGGGCAGTTGTGGGCGATCAGGGCAGGAGGGGAGGGCAGTTCGGGGGAACCAGGCCTTCTGGGGAGGGCAGTTGGGGGTGATCGGGCCAGCAGTTAGGCATTGATCAGGCTGGCAGGGGGAATGGTTAGGGGTTGATCACGCAGGCAGGCAGGCGAGTGGTTGGGAGCCAGCAGTCTCACAGGGATTGGACCTAAACCGGCAGTCAGACATCCCCTGAGGGGTCCCAGATTGGAGAGGGTGCAGGCTGGGCTGAGGGACATCGCCCCACCCCCCCTCACGTGCACAAAATTCGTGCACTGGGCCTCTAGTCTACCATAAAAGTGAAGACCTTGACTAATTCATGTTGATCTAATCTTTAACACTTTTGACAGGCACACCTATGTGTGTCCAGCATTCCCCACAGCAGTTGGAGCCACAGATAGAAGCAGAAGGGAAAGGGCGTAGTTTAAATGTGCATTTCTCAGTGAGTGTGGCCCATTGCTCTCTGTGGGAACACACCTGCTGAGTGCTCAGAATTCTTACTATGGAGATGCCTAGTAGTCAAGATCAACATTTCTAAAAAAAAATTTTAAATGCTTGATGACACTAATTTGTTTTAAGCAGCTGCTAAGTGTTTATGGCTGCTGGAGTTAACAGAAGTAACCATGGAAACAGTCTCATAATGCTTCAAGGCTGAATGGATTTAAAATATCTATTTAAAACCATAAACACTTTGACAGCTGTAAGAATATTTACGTTTCCTCCAATTTTGGTTTGATGGTGCAGCTCAGAAAACGGGAGAAAGAAGCATTAAAACAGAAGCAGTTTGAGATATTCATAGAATTCTTACAAAGTCCTCCTATGCTTTGGTGTACTGGTAGAGATCGGCTTATTTTGGGGAGGTAGTGAAGGAAGTGGGAACATTATAAAATTACAGACACCTGGCTAGACCCACAAAAGTCATCTGTCCTTTTTTATTCTCTTATCACCATAAACTCTATCTTGCTCATTCTTCTCTCCTCTGCCCTTGCTAACCCACCTGGCTAATCCACTGTAGACATTGAAGTGTTTTAAAGTGAAGTTGTCATGCACTTTGGTGCTCTCTGAATTTGCTGGGTGGTCAGCATGTCATTAGTATCTTAATGAACACACACAGGTTTGCCGGCTCCCTGAATCAGGGCCTGCAGTGGTTGGACTGGACCTCGGGAGGTGGGGACACAGCTCCACCAGCGCCTGATTGAGGCAGGAAGGGGAGGAAGGTTAGGGTTGTGTCTTCTCTTTTTTATCTGGAGGAACCATAACTTTCTCAGAAACCTTTTCCCCAACAATATTTCTGATTGTATCTCACTATCAGGTCTAATGGATGCTCCTGGCTTTAAAAAAATTGAAAAAATATAAATGGGCCTTTCCACCATCAATATCTAATGAGATACGGCAAGGGCTTAGGGTTGGAAATCTCCCAGGGGACTCATGATGGGAAAGTGGTGGGCAGATGTCTTAAGTGACATTGCAGTTTTAGTAAGAGGTTGACAAAATGATGACCTTGGTATACTGTGTTATGGAAACGTGTTCAGTGATCCCAGGCTAATTAGGCATAAGTTGTCCCGTGTCAGGTAGAACATAAACTAAAATCCATGTTTGCGTCCACATGTGCGTAGGATTCAGAGCCTCGAGGCAGTGTTCCCAGGGTGGGATGATGGGAGGGAGGGGGCCTCACAGTTTGGTGTGCAGACCTGTGCTCGCTCTAGTGCACCTCATTTTGTCTTCCACCACCTGGGGCCTGCGCAGAGCGAGTCACCGGACTGGAAAGAGGTGGCCATCTGCCCACATGGGATGAAGCTAGAAATAATGGAGATCTAATTTTTAAAATAAATTATTGATTTATTTTAGAGAAAGGAAGGGAGAGAGAGAGAGAGCGAGAGAAGGAAACATTGATTTGTTTTTCCACTTATTCATGCATTCATTAGTTGATTTTTCTATGTGCCCTGACCAGGGATCAAACCCGCAACCCCAGCATATGGGGACAACACTCCAACTGAGCTACCCGGCCAGGGCCTGGAGACCTAATATCTTTATGGTCATGTTCAGCCAGTTGTCCACTGTTTTTAGCGTCTCAACTCCATTTCCTGTTACTTCCTTCAGTGGCACCAGTGCCTCTGATTCTTGAGTCTTCCCGGGGTCTGTGCAGTAAATCTTTCACTCTCATGGGCTTCTCTCAGCTGGAGACCTTTAACAGAACAGAGACACTTGAAGCTCAACTTGGTTACCATTGTTCATCTGGTTTGCATTTTCTGGAATTTTGTTGACCCCTCACATCCACTGTTAACTCTTCCTCCATGATTTGTGCCTGTGGGAATTTCTTTATTTTGTGAGTTCTCCTATTTTGTGATATTTTAGGGGTGAAAGAACACCTGTCTTCAACCTGCGGTGTTCAGCTGGCAGTTGATTTCTCTTGAATCTGTACACTTGAATCATCTCTAGTGATTGCTGTAACTGTATGTCTTTGGAAATCAAAATCATTTTTTTCTATTCAAGTTCCTACCTCATCCTGAATTTCTCTTACTTATTTACTTAGTGGATCAGAGGTTTGTACTCAGAGGTTATAATATTTTCCTTGGCTAAGGTTATAGCTCCTTTCTCATTATTATTTCTGAATATCATGAGTTCTTCTTATTTATTGATTGATTGATTGATTTTAGAGATTGTTGTTCCACTCATTTATGCATTCATCCATTGGTTTGTTCCTGTATGTACCCTGTCCGAAGATTGAACCCAAACCTTGGCTTATGGGGATGGTGCTCTAACCAACCTGGCCAGGGATCTTCCTGTTTTTTTTTTTTTTTTTGTTTGTTTGTTTTTTTGTATTTTTTTAAGTCAAATATACCAGAGGTTTATCTGTTCTATTGTCCTTTTCTAAGAAGCGACTCCACTTTATTTCTCACTTCTACTGTTTATTTTTATAAGAATTTGAAAATGCGATAACCTTTCCCTTCATTTTAATAAGTTCTTAACATTCAATTTTCTTCTATTTTATAGTTCCCAGACTAGATTGTTGAGTTGAGTGTTTAACTTATTTTTCATATTTTTATTTAATAATAAAATAACAAAGCTTTTTTATCTTCTACTGAGATATGATAAAATGTATATTTTCTTGGAAGTGTTCTTCCTGTTATTAGTTTCTATGTGGTACGTTATTGTGGTTCTTAATTAAAATAATTTATTGTTTTAGATGACAACAGTAACAAAACTTATTTTAAAATACTCAAATATAGAAAAGAGTTATTTTTTCAGGAGATTGCAGGCAATAAAAGGTATGAATAAAAGAGTAGTATAGGCTAAAGACGTGATAAACACTATGAAGAAAAATGAGGGAGGATGAGGGCTGGGGAAGGACAGCAGGAAGGGGAGATGAGCTTAGACATGCTGTCCAAGAGGCCTCCTTGAGAAGGTGACCTTTATTTATTTGCAAATAAATGTTTAAGAAAAATCAGAACACTTACTGTAGAACAAGTATGTGATAGGCAGCATTGTAAGATGGCCCTGGTGATCTCTGTCCCTGGTGTGACACCTGTGTCTTTGTGTGAGTGTAATAGAATCTGTGACTTACTTCTCATCAATAGAATAAGGCAAAGGATGGCACGTTTATGATTTAGTTATTTTTTAAATAGATTTTTTAGCAAGTCACAGAAGTAGAAGTGAGCCAGCTGGGCTGCATGGTCCCAGGAAATGAGTTACAGAGGTAACGTGCCTAGGGGAAGAAGGAGGGGGATAGGTGTGGGCGTGCTTGAGAAATCAGGGAGAGAGAGAAGGAGAGAGGAGAGAGAGAGAAAGAGAGAGAGAGCGAGCGAGCTGTGTTGTTCCACTTACTGATGGATTCATTGGTTGCTTCTTGTATGTGCCTGACCGGGGATCAAACCTACAACCATGGTGTATTGGGATGATCCTCCGATCAACTGGGCACTGAGCTACCCAGCAAGTGTGCTTTTAAGCTGCTAGTTTGTGATAATTTATTATGCAGCAATGCAAAGTTACTGCAGAATATATAGGAAAATATTAACCCCATCTTACGACGACCCTTACTGAAAGTAGGGTATTAGCAAATGAATAGACATCAATGGAGAAGAAGAGATAATTTTGCCTTTGGTCTATTATATGTAAGAACCTAACCTATATATAAATAAAACCCTAATATGCAAATAGGCCAAATGGTGGAACAACCGGTCGCTATGATGTGTGCTGACCATGAGGGGGCACGCACGGTACATGGCAGGTGGCAGCAGCAGGTGGCAGAGTGCGGAACATGGTGGGTATCAGCCGCAGCAGGATGGTGGAGCAGGTGGGTGGGAGCGCCAGGCCAAGGTGGGGTGCTGGTTGCTGTCATGGGGGCAAGCCTCTGGTGGTTACTGAAAATTCTTTGCTTCCATGTGCTGCAGTCCCACAAGGTGCTCACACCTGCTGCCAGCACCCAGCGCTGGCCCCAATTGCTTGGTGCTGTCAGTGGGTGCAAGTGGTGGCTGTGGGTCCCGATTGCCCCTCAGGGCTTCTCCACCTCCCCCTGCTCCTGAGGGGTGATTGGGGCCAGCAGCCACCTCTCACACCCACTGCCAGTGCCAGCCCTGCTTGCACCCGCAGCCGGCACCGGAGCCGATCGCTTGGCACCATCAGTGGGTGTGAGCAGTGGCTGCTGGCCCCAATTGCCTCTGAAGGCTTCTCCACCTCCCTCTGCTCCTGAGGTGCTGATGGCACAGAGCGATTGGGGCCAGCACCATCAGCACGTGGGAGTGGCGGCAGTGGGAGTGGGGCTGCCAGGAGATAGGGGACCAGGGGTCACGGTGGGAAGGACCAGGCAGTGGCACTGAGGATGGGCTGAGACCTGTCCCTGTGCCCACCACAGCCTCAGGGCCCACAGTTCCTTTCAAGGTGCATGAATTCATTCACTGGGCCCCTGGTCTCTATATATAAAAAGCCAGAGACTGTAACGCCATCATGACCATAACGAACCTTAACAACCGGTAGCTATGACACCCAGTACGGCCAGCAAACAGGCCTGATCTGGGCTGGATCACCCCAACACCCGGATCAGGGCAGAGCCAGCCGGCTAACGGCCTTGGTGGCAGGAATCTGGGGTCGGGGACCTTGGAGTTGCTCGGCCTCAGTCTCGGGCAGTGGCACGGGCGAAGCTCTCCTTTGGTGGAAGTGGACTGGGATCAGGGCGCTGGAGTCGGGGGTGGGGTGGGGAGGCTTTCCTGGTGGCCACAGTAGTTCCTGTGGGCTGCACACAACACCTGGGCATCTGGCCCTGGTCAGAATAGCGGCAGGGGTCACGGGGCGCAGAAGGCAGCGGCACATAGTAGCCAGGAGGTGCGAGGCCCTACATGGGCTCTTACCCCACCCTCTGGGCCCAGCAGCTCCAGCAGGTGGACCATGATGTGCAGCAAGGTTCTGGGCTGCAGACGGGAGGGGAAGTGAGCCAGGAGGGCAAGGCCCTGTGCCAGACAGAGCCCCAGCGACGTGGGTGGGGCCGAAGCTGGAAACCCTGATGCCTTTTTGGCCTTGGCCTTGGAATTCAGAGGTCAGCCCCACTTCAAGAGAGAGGAAGTGGCAAGGCCACAGGAGGGATGGGAAATGTTGTGGCCATCTTGGGGAAACACAGCTGCCACGGTCTTCAGTACCATGAACAGATGATCTTTGGTCTCGGTTCTACAGAAGAGGAAGCTGAAACTCAATGAAGGGAGCCTTCCACAAAACCTCACCCACTTCTCAGACCTGACCCTGTGCAGCATTGTTTTCGTTGAAAGTAGAGGATCCAAAAGGTTTTAAGATCTTTGCTATTTTAGGCTGAAAAGAATTTAGCACAGGGAGCTGGTGCTTGGGAAATCGTCAGAAAGCAGGAGGGGTGGGTATTAGGCTGGGCCCCCAAGAAAGACTCCCTGCCCAGCGGGAGGGACTGCCCCCTCAGCCACACTGAATTCTAGGACTCTGGCTCAGCTGTGACCCGGAGATCGGGAAACTGCTGCCCCCACAAGTGCCCTCCAGCTCCCACAGAACAGGTCACTGGGCACTGCCTCTGCCACAACTGCCTGTGCACAGCCTGGATTCCGCTGCAGAAAACCTCCACATCTTTGCAAACATCATCACCAGCAGCAAACAGCCCAAACCGCGGGAAGATGCCTCTGCCTCACTTCTGCCTTCAAAATATCGTGCAAGCACATCCAATTGGCAGAAACGAATTCATATCCAGAAACCTAGCTGCAAAGGAGTTTGGGCAATTTCAGACGTTTGTCTAGGAGTGAGATCTTGCCAATGTACCTCATGTGCCTGGTATTGATTAAAACGGGGCCCGGCTGGTGGAGCTCAGTGGTTGAGCATCAATCTATGAACCAGGAGGTCACAATATGATTCCTGGTCAAATTTCGAGCTTGATCCTCAGTAGGGGCATGCAGGAGGCAGCTGATCAATGATTCTCACCATTGATGTTTCTATCTGCCTCTCCTTCTTCCTTCCTCTGAAATCAATATATATTTTTTAAAAATGGGGTCATGCTGTATACATGTGTTATAACAAGTTTTTCATTTCATAGATCACTAATGTCTTTCCTGTTAAAATCATACTTAGAGAACATTATTTATTATTCATTTTAAATTGATCTCAGAGAGAAGAAAGGAGAGAGAGAGAAACATTGTTCCGTTGTTTCCTGCACTCACTAGACTGGGTATTGAATCTGCAACTCGAGCATGTGCCTTGACTAGCAATTGATCCACCATTTTCTGGTGTATGGGACGATGCGATGCTGGTACCCTGACCCCAAATTCCAGCTTCCAGAACTGTGAGAAAAATACATTTCTGTTGTTTAAGCCACACAAATTTATTATATTTTGTTATGACTATCTGAACTGATTAATCTATACTAATAAAAGGGAAATATGCTAATTAGATTGGGCTGACCGGACATCTCCTGGTCATCCTTCCAGACAAAGCCATGGTGGCAAGGGCTGAGGCAGAGGCAGTTAGGGACAATCAGGCCGGCAGGGGAGAGCAGTTAGGGGTGATCAGGCTGGCAGGGGAGAGTAGTTAGGGATGATCAGGCAGGCATGCAGACTGGTTAGGGGCTATCAGGCAGGCAAGCAGGTGAGCGATTAGTAGCCAGCGGTCCCCAAGGGGTCCCAGACTGGAGAGGGTGCAGGCCTGGCTGCGGGACCCCGCCCTCCCCCCGTGCATGAATTTCATGCACCAGGCCTCTAGTCCTATCTAATAAAGAGGGAAGATGCTAATTGACCCTCATGTTATTGCAAAAGATGGCGGCACCCACAGCCACAAGATAGCTGGCAGGGGAGGGCAGTTGTGGGCTATCAGGCCAGCAGGGGAGGCCAGTTGGGTGTGACCAGGCCTGCAGGGAGGGCAGTTGGGGGCGACAGGGCCAGCAGGGGAGGGCAGTTGGGGGCAATTGGGCTGGCAAGCGAGGGCAGTTGAGGATCAGGCTGGCAGGGGAGTGGTTAGGGGGCAATCAGGCAGGCAGGCAGGTGAGTGGTGGGGAGTCAGCAGTTCCAGATTGTGAGAGGGATGTCTGACTGCCGGTTTAAGCCTAAACCGACAGTCGGACATCCCCCAAGGGGTCCCAGATTGGAGAGGGTGCAGGCTGGGCTTAGGGACACCCCCCCACCCCCAGTGCATGAATTTTGTACACCAGGCCTCTAGTATATTATAAAGGAACATCACAAATTACTTTAAGTGCCTCCTCACACCTGAGTGTACTGACACCTACCTCTCATCTCTGTTTCAGAGTCTCTGCCACATCACTGAAATAAATAACAGGTAGATTAGATATGTCATATTGAGAAAATTCAAATCACAAGATAATGAAACTAAAGTACTTTTAAAACCTTACTCCAGTCTAAGCTTGGGAGTGATGGAAACATGTCTCAGATAAACAACAGTCTACATGGACATTTTAACACTTTTTAGCATAACAATATTATAACTAAACTAAACATTTTAAAAATTAATACATGTTTCCTTCAACATTGAAAAGGATAATACATCTATTATATTGGGCGGTCATAGAATCTGAAAAAGAAAATGGATAAAGAATGTGAGTCACGAAAGATAAACGTTTATAAACTTTATATCAAAAATGTTTTGTCCATGGAGAAGAAGCTGACCCGCAGGAGAGATCCCTCCTCTGAGTCAGGCTGAGGGGCGTGAACAGTGTGGGAATGCTACACTGACTGCCTTCTGCCCCTGGTCCATCACAGGAATAATTTGGAGAGCCCAGATTCTCTAGTAGTGAAACTCAAAGTCCCCGTTGAATGCAATATTTCTTTCCTAAAAGCCAAGGTCACGATCGTCCACCTCGCGATAAAACTTCCTGTGGCTGCTCGCAAATGAGGATTGTCCTCGCTTCTCTTGTTCCAGTGGGAGAATCTCCTGCTCCACGGGGGCTGGCTGGGAATCTGTGCCAAGCCAGGACCAGCCGGAGACCAGGAGATAAGAAGAGGCTAAAGGGATTAGTGTCCTTAATCGGGGCTAATCAATCATTTCAAGTGGAAAATTCATTAGGATTTGCCTGACAAGAACTCTGCTGCCAGCAGATGCAGAATCCTGCTGCAAACCTCTGTATATTTAAGATGCTCTGTAATCCCCACAAGTTGCTAATTTACTTTTTTCCTTCTAAACATTTCTCTCTAATCATCAAGATTTAATCCTCCTAATCTCCATCCCCGCTGACTCCCAGCGTGGCTTTTATAATCACGGGCGGTGTGTTGAACGGACTATTTTTTAAATGGAGCTCCTTTCTCAGTGTGAACTGGCCGTTCTGTGGGGGCTGCGCAGGCCTGACTGCCATTGCGCCCACTCTGAGATTGCTTAAGGAGAGGGGGGTCAGCTTAGGACATTTCAGGTAGTTTAATGTGTCCTTGTTTCATGCATTGCAAGCAGGTGCATTTCAGAGAATATGAAGAGTGTGTAAAAAAGTGCTTCCCACGGAAAGCGTGCAGACACTTCCCTTCCACACTATTATGTATTAAATAAAAAAGCGCAGCAGCAGCCGGTCGGAGGGCACAGTTCCCTAATGCTCCCTGCAGCCACCTCAGCAATGGACCTGCCCGGGAGCCCTGTGGGCACAGCTCAGGCCGACCCAGGGCAGGAAATGGGCAGTGTGAATCTACCGTCAGCTGAGCAGTGATTGCTGGGCAATCATTGTCCGTGTGAGCGAGCGTAGGCCATCAGAGGCATCAGGCCTGAGGGGGAACTGAGGTTGTGAGGCGCCTCCAACTCCACTCCATTCATTCAAACACCTTAGCCAACTACAGAGGTCTCAGTGACAGCGAGGCTCACTTCCCACGCTGTGGAGTTTCATATTGTTAGTGTTCAAGTAAAGTTAATTTCAACAAAAAATTCTTGGCAATGCCAGCCAGCAGCTTCTTTCTACGCTAATGTGAAGCTTGAGGACAACGAATGCCTCAATGCCTGCGCATGTCTTTGTGTTGTGTGTTTGCATGTGTGTGAGCTTTCTCATCTCCCAGAATGAACTTAAAATTAAAGAAAAAGGTCATTAATATTTAATATTTTGATTGCTTACTATAAATCAGGTGCCATATTAAATTGCTTTATATATTATAGCTTCTTGCCTCCTTAAATTTAATAGGTTTTAATGTAAAGCATCATCATGGAGAAGAGATGAGCTCCTCTGTGTGCCCCTCCCAAACGGTGTGATAGGAGGATATGATAGTTGACAGTAAGGCCTCCTAACATGGCTGTGTTCCTGGGAGGGGGTGTTGTCATGGGTGCTATGAGGATTGGAATAGCCTGGTCCATAAGGACTCCATATGGACATCCAGCTCCCAGGACCACCTTGGGAAAGACCATGAATTTTCTTCTGTTTAACATTTATTTTTTAAAATATATTTTTATTGATTTCAGAGAGAAAGGGAGAGGGGGAGAGAGATAGAAACATCAATGATGAGAGAGAACCATCGATTGGCTGCCTCCTGCATGCCCCACACTGGCGATTGAACTGTGACCTCCTGGTTCATAGGTAGATGCTCAACCACTGAGCCATGCCGGCTGGGCTTTTTAAAAAATATTTAGTTTTAATTGCAGTTGACATTCAATATGATTCTGTATTAGTTTCAGATGAGCAGCAAAGTGATTAGAAATCATGTACTTTACAATGTACCCTCCCCCCGTCCCCCCCCCCCCCCCCCCGCTTCAAGCATCCACCTGGCCCCACTCGTACTCATCCTGATAGTGACTGTATTCCCAGCACCGCAACCCACATCTCCGTGGTTATTCTCTAACTCCAATCTGTACTGCGAATCGCTTCCTTTTTCACATAACCTCACCCCTCACCTCTGACAGCTGTCAGTCTGTTTCTGTTTCGTTTGTTTATGTTGTTCATTAGATTCCACATAGGAGTGAAATCATGGAGCATTTGTCCTCCTCCTCCTGGCTTACTTTGCTTAGCATAATGCTCTCCAGGTCCCTCCATGCTGTTGTAAAGGGTAAGAGTTCTTCTTTACGGCCGAGTAGAATTCCACTGTGTAGTAAATGGGCCGCAGCGTTTTAATCCCCACGTCTACTGGGGGCACTTGGGTTGCTTCCAAATCTTGGTTTGTAAATAGCACCACAATGAGCTTAGGAGCACAAGTATATTTTTGAATCAGTTTCAGTTTCCTCAGATATATTCTCCAAAGTGGGATTCCTAAGTCTTAAGGCAGTTCCATTTTTAATTTTTTTGAGGTAACTCCTACTGCTTTCCACACTGGCTTCACCAGTCTGCATGAGGGCTCCCTTTTCTCCACATCCTCACCAGCGCTTGTTGTTTGTGGGTTTATTGATGATAGCCATTCTGACAGGTGTGAGATTTTAATTTGCATTTCCCTGATGATTAGGGATGTTGAGCAACTTTTCATGTCTATTGGCCATCGGTATGTCTTCCTTGGAGAAATGTCTATTTAGGTCTCCACCCACTTTTTAGTGGGTGGCTTGTTTTCCTCATGTTAAGCTGTCTGAGTTCTTTATAAATTGTGGGTAGTTATAATTTTGGATCCAACCCACAACCTTGGTGCATCAGGACAAGGCTCTACCAGCCGAGTTCCCTGGCCCCCTGGCTGCATTTCTAACACAGGCACAGCGCACGGTGCTACCACCATTTGGGAGGGGCACACAGAGGAGCCTCATCTCTTCTCCATGACGATGCACTTGAGAGTTGAGCTCACGTGTTTAGAGGTGGAGTATTAAGCACGTCTCTACCTGTTGCTCACATGTGCACAAAGGATTTACACGTGGATAATTTTATCATCCCCAGTGAATAGGTTTGGGGAAAATGGATGAAGGCTACAAGGAGAAGCACAAGCTTTTCTCAAAGTGTATATATGGTAAGTTTTAATTGTGCAGCTATGTTGTGATTATTAATTCTCATCGTGGTGTTTTGATTTCGTTCTTGAGGTTTATTTTATTTTACTTTATTTTTAGAGAGAGAGAAACATTTATGTGAGAACAGAATATCCAATCAGATTGGCTGCCTCCTGCATGCCCCCTACTGGGGATTGAGTCCAAATCAGGGCGTGTGCCCTGGCCAGGAATCAAACCAGCAACCTTTCGGTGCCAGGGAGCATGCCCAACCAGCTGAGGACGCTGGCCGCTGCCACTCTTGAGGTCCTAAACGCCCTGGTGCTCCCAGAAAGCATTCATCGCACACAAGATGTCATTTATGAACACACAGTGTTCTATGGCATACAGTGTTCGTGTGCATTTTAATATATGAAGATGTTAATGAGACCAATAAGGAAACTTTCAAAGTAAAAGAAACCTGGAGTTAGTCACACATATTCACACATGTTTCCCACGCGCCCTCCCCCCGCCCCCTCCCCAGTGCACAGGAGGCTTCGCTCTCCAGGATGCAGACACGCATTGGACTCCAGTCTTCACAAATTAGAACCGTGGCAAAGGCCCCGTGGCTGCCTGCAGACTTAGCTCGGAGCCTTGTACTTTGACAGTCTGCCTCTTTAAAATGCGGTCTCCACGAATGTAGTATTTACTGTGTCACTTTTCCATGCCTCAGGCATACGTAGTGTTTTCACCAGTGGAAACACCCTCTCCAGTGAGGAATTTAAATAGCCACTCACAGAGAAGAGGGACTGGTTTGACTTAAAAATAATTACCAGCTGAACTTTTCTAGGAAGTCATTAACCAAAAAGCCCAGTCACCGTTGTGTACAGGGAGGAAGCACAACGCTCTCGCACAGCTTTAGCAAATCAGGCTTTGAGGCCATGCTCGGCCCTCTGAGGCGTGGCCACGCAGTCACCGGCTCTCCCAGCATTAATTGCCTTTTTAATTGTGTGCGTGATCCGACTTTCAGCACGAAGCAAGCGTGACCTGCTGGCTCCCGCAGCGAGGCTCTGGGACGTGTGTTATCTTCCTCTCCACACCCACACGTTCCGAGGAAACGCACAAGCGACTAGCACACAGGGGACACGTAAAATGCTTCCAGTGAATAAATATAATAAAGCGTTAAGTCTTAAAACGATTAGAAAAAATCCTATTTTGTTCCTTACCTTTAGTTGCTTAAGGGGTCTGACAAGCGAATATTAATTGCCTTTCCACTTTAACTTAATGTTCACAACAGACCTTTAAGGTGGGTTTTCTATTAAAAATCATCACAAAATCGAAGTTCCAGGTAATAACTTACCAATACGTCCGAGTTCATAAGTGCTCAGGATTCCCATCGGAGTCTGGCTACTGCGTCCTGTGTGCGTTTGGATAAGTGAACTTCAGTTTGTTCTAGAACCAAGGGGGCGTCAAGGAGTAAGTAGGGCTATAAATTGGCAAAGCGGAGGGAAAGGGCGCGTGTCAGAGCCTGTTTGGGGTTTGGTATCCAATGCCTGTAAAGCACCACTGGGATGTGCTTGAGAAATCTGCCGGCAGTTGGTTTCCTCCCTTTCCTCATCATCCTCCCTCCTCCAAAGCCTCTCAGCCAGCGGGCAGTGCGCCGGATGGATCTAAATGGTGTCGCTCTCTGTGGGAACACAGGTCTTCAGAGGCGGGGTAGACAGAGAAGACATGAGAAGTTATCTTTGGGCGTATAGGAGAGGCTGTACTGCAGACCAAGTAGCCATTGCTAACAAGGAGCCAGCAGACAAAACAGTTCTTCAAAGCAGCCCGCAAAGCATCCCTTGCTCACACAGTAGCAATACAGGAGCCATTGCTAACAAATACCCGACCAAGCAGCCAGCCACTGGCTGGTCAGCAACACATCTTTGTACCAACTCAGCCAGAAGTGGCTTCTTGCCAAGTAGTGACGTCAGGATTTGGGTCATAGAAAGGCACGCCTGCGCAGTGCACACAGTAAAACTGCTGTCCTTGCTTTTGTACCTGCGCATGGCAACCTGGCCTTGAATATCCGGCATACTCTGGATTAGGCCCTCATGTTCAAATTGGCCTTGAGCATCCGCTGTGCTCTGATTAGGGTTCCCACACCGTCAGGTAGGTGGCGCTGTACTTCTCAGGCTATCCCAAAACTCTCCCCTGCATGTCTGTCCTGCGTGTGGGACTCGGCTGTTCCTGAGTGGGCTTGACACCTCTTGGAATAGGTCCATCTGCTATGCTTTGGATGAGATACTGAAGAATTTCTAAAAACAGAGAGAGGAGGAGCTAGGCAAGGCAGTCTTATTGGTAACGACTGGGATTTCTGAGAATGGAAGATGTATGTTGTCCAGGTGTATCCTCTCAGACCCTTAACACTCATACCTGGTTTCTACGGAGATGGCTAGAGGCAGTGGGGGTGGTGGAATGTGTATAAGTGAGGAGGAGTTCTAACAAAATTAGAAGACTTGTTCCAATAAAGTTTCATATGACCTAAATTATGAACACTGTAATTGTGCTTTCAGAGCATGGATTTATCAAATGTTTTAGTTTTTCTTTCTTTCCTTCTCTCTGTCTCCCTCCCTCTCTCCTTCCCGCCCCCCTTTTTCAAAATCTCAGAGCATCTAATTTGAAAGTTTCCATTTCCTGGAATAAATGAAACCAAGTATCTCTCTCCCTGTCCCTCATCCTCCCCTTCCCTTTCTCTCCTTCCCGCCTTCCTTCCCTCCCTTCTTACCTCTTTCTTATAAGCTAGTCACAGGACCTTTTTGTTTGTTAGCTAGCCATTTATAGATACTAACTTTAGCCATTTATTTTGTTCTTAAACTCCTCCCAAGAATGCCTTTTATTTTTAAAAATTAAGTAAAGTACATAAATGAGAAGAGCATTAACAGAGGTCAAAAATTATCACAAGAATGAAACAGCAGCCATATCAAACACCAGAACATCGCCAGCATGCAGAAGAGCTGTTCTTGATCTGCTAAACCATCACACACTCTCTGTCCTCCCAAGGTAACCAGTTTCTTGATTTTTTTACAAAACTATGTTTTTATTGATTTTATAGAGAGAGGAGGGGAGAGATAGAAACAGTAATTAGAGAGAATCATTGATTGGCTGTCTCCTGCAAGCCCCTATTGAGGATTGAGCCTGAAACCCAGGCATGTGCCATGGACAGGAATTGAACCAGGGACCTCTTGATGCACGTGATGACAATCAACCATGGAGCCACACTGGCTGGACAGTTTCTTGATTTTTACTATCATAGATTTGTTTTGCATGTTTTTGAATATTAAATTCCTCAGCTAATGGAATCAGTGTATATTCTTTGATGTGTGACTTCTTTCATTCAACATTGTTCATGAGACTCAACCATGTTGCTGTGTGTAGAGGTAATTAGGCTATTTATGCATTTTCATCACAGTATGGAATATACCATGATATTTTACAATTTCTGCCCTTGAAGGTCAGTGGGGTTGTTTCCAGTCTAGGGCTACTATGAAGAACACAGCTACAAGGATTCTAAAGATGCCTTGTAGCTCACACACGCCTCTACTTCTTTTGTGTATATGCTGAAGAGTAGCATTGGTAGATCCTAGCATAGGTGAGACTTTAACCTTGGTAGATAATGCCAACCAATTGGTTTTCCAAAGTTGTTGTAACGATTTTGACTCGTCACGGCTGTGAATTCCCAGTGTACCATGTTGTCACCAAAATACTGATCTGTTTTTAGTTTGAACCATGTTGGTGGGTGTGAGCTATCTCATGGGGGTTTTAGTATGGCTTTCTCTGATGACTAATGAGTCTGTATGCCTTTTAATTATTTTGTCCACAAATCAAATATGATCTTTAATGAAATCTCTGTTCAAATATTTTTCCCATTTGTAAATTTAGATTGTCTTTTTGTAATTGAGGAGATAAGCCCATTGTTAGTTATGTGTGTTGCAAATATCTTCTCCCACTGTGTGGCTTTTCAGTCTCTTAATGTTAGCACAGTTTCTATTTTTATTTTTAAAATTATTTTAAAATCTTTATTGCTGAAAGTATTACATATGTCTCCCTTTCCCCCCATGTACCTTTTCCAGCCAGCCCCCTCCCCCTCTCCCCAGGCCTTCACTACCCTATTGTCTGAGTGCATGGGTTATACTTATATGCATACATGTTCATTGGTTGACCTCTTCCCACCTACCCACTTTCCCCTGCCTTCCCTCTGAGGTTTGCAGTCTGTTTGATGCTTCTATGTCTCTGGATCTATTTTGTTCATCAGTTTATTTTGTTCATTAGATTCCACATCTGAGTGAGATCATGTGATATTTGTCTTTCTCTGACTGGCTTATTTTGCTTAGCATAATACTCTCCAGGTATCTCCATGTTGTCCCAAAGGGTAAAAGAGCCTCCTTCTTTATAGCTGCATAGTGTAAATGTACATGGTGTAAATGTGCCACAGCTTTTTAATCCCCTCATCTACTGATGGCCACTTAGGCTTTTTCCAAATATTAGCTATTGTAAATTGTGCTGCTAAGAACCTAGGGGTGCATACATTCTTTCTGATTGGCATATCTGATTTCTTAGGATATTTTCCTAGAAGTGGAATCACTGGGTCAAATGGGAGTTCCAATTTTAAAATTTTGAGGAAACTCCATACTGTTTTCCACAGAGGCTGCACCAGTCTGCATTTCCACCAGCAGTGTATGAGGGTTCCCTTTCCTCCACATCATCACCAACACTTGTCGTTTACTGATTTGTTGATGGTAACCTTTCTGACAAGTGTGAGGTGGTACCTCATTGCCTCATTGTTGTTGTTTTTTTAAAAACATTTTTATTGATTTCAGAGAGGAAGAGAGAGAGAGAGAGAGAGAGAGAGAGAGAGAGAGAGAGAGAGAGAGAAACATCAATGATAGAGAATCATTGATTGGCTGCCTCCTACACATCCCCTAATGGGGATCAAGCCTGCAACCCAGGCATGTGCACTTGACCAGAATTGAATCCAGGACCTGTCAGTCCACAGGCCAACACTCTATCCACTGAGCCAAACCAACTAGGGCTCATTGTTGTTTTGATTTGCATTTCTCAGATGATTAGTGACTTTGAGCATTTTTTTTCATATGCCTCTTGGCCTTGTGCATGTCCACTTTGGAGAAGTGTCTATGTAGGCTATTTGCCCATTTTTAGTTAGACTGTTTGTCTTCCTTTTGTTAAGTTGTATGAGTTCCTTATATAATTTGGATATTAACCCTTTATCAGATGTATCATTGCCAAATACGTTCTCCCATGCAGTGGGCTCCCTTTTTGATTTATTGATGGTGTCTTTTGCTGTGCAGAAGCTTTCCAGTTTGATACTGTAGTCCCATTTGTTTATTTTCTCCTTAGTTTCCCTTGTCCTAGGAGATGTATCAGTAACATATTGTTATGAGAGGTGCCTGAGATTATGCTGCCTATGGTTTCTTCTAGGATTTTTATGGTTTCACGTCTTACATTTGACTCAATTGTATGCTCTTTCCTCCTTTGTCAAATATTAATTCATCATAATGGCTTGGGTTGATTTCTGGGTTCTCTATTCTGTTCTTTAGAATAAAATAAAGTGCAGATGAATATCAAGAATACTTGAGATGCTGGAAAATGGATGCTAGTGAAACATTTTTTGTCTCCATTCTATATACATGCCTTTGTGTGCTTTTTGAGTGCCTGATGGATGTAAAGTACCAAACTAGACACTTTGGAGATTTAGAGTGCATGGAGGAAATTCAGTCTTCATTCAAAAATAGAGAAAAATATGGCAATATATGGCAAAATAGCAGACGCACATTGTTGGAGGTATTGTAGAGAAGTGCCCTGGAGATGCTTCTATGGATACATTTTGCTGAGAGTTTTAGGATTTTGGATCCTGAGATGACCTGAGAGGCGCTGAGCCACCTTCCTTGTTTCACAGAGGAGGTAACAGCGCAGAGATGTGAACCACTGGCCTGAGGCCCGGGTGGCAGGTGGGAAGCTGGCAGAGAACACACTTCTATTGTCTCTGCATCTTCTGCTCTGTCCTCTAGCTCATGTTTATTCTGAAAAAGAAAATGATCACATTATGTGCACCTGAAGGCATTAGTCACCATGTAATAGCCTTTGGACGGGATACACTGATTGCAGAAGTGCTGTGCCCCTTCCCAGAGGCCGCGTGTGTGCCACTTTGGAAGGCAACCTTCCAATCTGAGGGCACATTCACTTTCCCCTCCGTTTCAAAGACATTTTTCAAATGCTTCCCCTTTGACACTGCCGCCTACTAGCACTTGTGCACAGTAAGCAGTGCTGGAGGCTAATGCACTCCTAATGATAGTTGTAAACTGGCCCCTCTTGGCAGGAAATGCCCAATAAGATGCTCTTTTTAGAGTAAAACGAAGTAGTTTTGGTTAGATTGTGCCCAACTGAGGACACAGCGTGTCTTATCTATACACGT